GCAAACAGGGTGAAGTGACTTGCCCAGGGTCACACAAATAGTAAGTGTCTGAGGCCACATTTGAACTCAGGAAGATGAGTCTTCCTGACTCCAGCCCAGTGCTCTTTCCACTGCACCACCTCACTGCTACCACATGACCTTGGACAAATCACTTAATTGCTTAATTGCTTGTCCACTGCTAGGTGTAGCTGCCCTTAAAAACAAACAAACAAACCAGTAACTAAAAGTTCAGAGAGCTAGTTGTTATGAAATTGAAAACAAAGTTCTAAAACTTAAACCAAAACTATAATTTGAAATGAAGTTAACATGAAGAGTGTTTCTCTTATTGGAATTCTAACAGACACTAATTTGAAGATATAGCTTCATGAACATTGGAACTAATACCATAGCTAACACTTTGTATCTTCTTCAGGACCTAACAGGACCTTTATATATACTAGGCCCTTAATACGAGTTGGACACAAAACATTACATACCACATATCTAAAAACAACTGATTTCACTGGATAGCTTAATTATATCACTTATTTCATTCTGCTTAAATAACTAGTTACATCATTTCAACGCATTTTCCCGTCGAATTCTTCTATAAAGAACAACTATAATCTTAGTGCCTAAACCACTCTGATTAAATCTGTGAAAAGGATATACCTGTAGAATTTGTTTGTCCTGATTCCCAGAAGATTTTTATACTAACTACAACTTCCTTACATGCTCCAAACAGATAACATCACAATGGGCTGGATGTCAATCGATCGATCAATAGATATACAGACATATAAAAGTATTGGTAGCTACTAAATTTCTATAATACACACTAGCTAGGTTCTAGAATCATATTAGTACCATGGTCACAGAAATAGGTAAAAGATATTAATATTTTTAAAATGTTCATAACCTCAATCTAAAAATGATTTTAGACATCTCAATTTTTTTTATTAAGGCTGTCACAAACTGTCCTACCACACACAGAAAAAAACAAGTAGCTGCTGTCTTTTTCTTACAACAAACACACAAACAAAAAAAGCTCTATAAAAGTCAGATTTATTTTCAAAGCAATTGTGTATGGGGACAGAAGGTGAAGCATTATTACAGAACTCACACTTACAGTGTTTTAGGACCTAAGGTCATGAGACAGATAATAGCAAATGGGAGTTATCATTCTTTCACCTTCCCAAAGTAACCAAAAATTTAATATTTAGGCGTTCTGAAAATTAACAATTAGTAATCAGAACTCAAAAGAGAGGGAGGGGGAAAGATGATCTAAATGAAAACTCAATATGCCTCCCAGATCACATCTAGAAAACCAGTGAATGACAACTGGACATATACATAGGTTGTTTGTTTTACTTTTCTGTAGTAAATTACAAGAGAAGCCTGAAAGTCTGTTACACCTCCTTGATAATAACTGAGACACATTTGGAAGATACAGATATAGATGTGCAGATACACATATGTAGCTATATAGATATATCAATATATAAAACATATACACAATATAATATATATACACACACACAAATACACACATGTATGTGTATACACACACACAGGTAAAACTAAAAACACTAAAACTAAAGATATTTATTGAATGACACCAGTTACTAGAGAAACTTAATAAAATTCTCAAACACATCTCACCCTCAGTGAGGAGCTACAATTTGCACTGAATACCTAAATGCTACCTTTTACACATGGTTATTAATATCTAAAATGGATGATCTACACATAATTTTAAACACAGTGTTGCTTACGTATCTTTCTAAAAAATCATAGTAATTGTAAAAACATCAAATTTCCCACTCTCTCAGTTTTCTTAAACTCAATTATCAGACTGGGATTGTTTCTTTTTTTTTTTTTAAATCCTTTACACACAGCATGATGCCTGGCACCTTAATAAATGCTTATTGATTGAATATGTTTTACAAGAAAGAAACAGTGTTGGAAGAAAAATAACACAAATCACACCAAAGTTGCAATATTTTTTTACAAGACTCTTGAAAAGAGATTAAAAAGGAATAATGATAACATTTGTTGAATATTTGTGTTGCAACACTATGCTGGGTGGTATAAAAGTAGCAAAGGAAACTAAAATCAATTAGAAAGCTTTCTAACAGTACAGTACAGACCAGGCCTTAAGTTTTTTGGTCTGTAAATGCAAAAATGCATTTAAAATTAAAATAATGGAAAATTTTCTTCAGGTATTTTGCAACTATAACATTGACATAATTCTTAAAACAGACATGAAGGTCTTTGGACAATTATGCTAAAGATAGCTACAAGTGCTTACGAAATACACAAACATCCATTCATTTAATCTAAAACACTTTGCAATACCAAGGTTTCAAGACTTAAAAGTTTTTTTTATCAGCTATAACAATCTATTTTCTCATAGTTTTACATACTTCTACACCACACTAATACTGGAAACAAACTCGAATTTTAGATACCAAATCATAGCCCCTAACAATCAATCTGACAGAACCTCAAGTGCCACTTTACAAATTTCCTATCACCCAAACCATAGAGTTCCTTCAGAAATGATAAAGGGAGTATAAAAAAGTTTCACATTTATCAAATTACTTAAATTTAATGCTGATTTTATCTGACAAATGAAGAACCCCACAATGCATGCTGGTAAACTGCTTCTTTTTCTGATAAAAAAAAAAGATAGCATTCACTCTGAATGCTTTACAGACAAAACTGGTCATTTAAAGTAACTTGAAAAGTGTTACTCATCTTTGTCAAATGACTGTTTTTACTCCCCCCCAGGTGGTTGTGAGGAAAATACTTTGTCAAAACAGATTTAGATTTTGTCATCTCTTAGTATTTTATTTAAACATTTAACAAGTATTAATTGTCTGCTATGTGCACAACACTGAATAACAAAAAATTATTTTTTAAACTGAAAATCATAAAGTTTACTATACAGGCAGGTTAAAGTTTATGTTGCTTTGAGAGTCACGACCAACACTGGGTTGTTTTTTTTTTCTTTTACAATTTGGACCTACATTCCCTCCTCTTAAATTTAAAAAAAATAAATAAAAGGTCAATAAAAATATTCAGTTGACAATAGCTTCTGAATCCTGCCAACAACTCATTAAATAGAAAAACTGAAGAGCAGTATCTAGAATAATGAAGAGATATGCTATGTGTATACTCAATAAGAAGCAAAAATTTCAAACAACACTTACATGTTCATTTTCGAATTGTTAAACAATTAGGTACGAGATGGAGTTAACTGCCTCAGCAACTAGATGTCCAGTTAGAACGGTGTTTAATGACATCACCGTTAATACTGGTATGATCAGAAAGGCAGTTTCCTAGCGGGAAAGCTGGAGTGAGGCTGCAGGAGGACTTAGTTAATGACCTCCTAGTTTATCTAGAAAGAAATAACTTTGGAGGTAAAAATGCATATCCCAAAAACACAGGAGTGGAGAATTCTCTTATTAAGCTAAAAATCATTTGAATTGCCTCTACTTTTCCACGTTAGGTAAGAAACAAATTTTTCACTATTTTACAAAGAAGAACTATTAGGGATGATACTGTATAATTGACAAGTTGTAAGCAACATGTAATGATTTACTAATCCATATGAGGTCCTTCCATTTCAAGCGGAATAACTGGGGGTGGGGGAATGTTCATGCTAAATTTCAACTTAAGTATTTTAGGCAGGGGGAAAAAAATCAGTATATATACACTGATTAACATTTCCTGCAGACAACTAAAATCTTAATGGTTAGAGAATTTGCATTATACTTTGATGGGTAAATTAAATAATGCAACAAGACCAACCACTCTACAAAAGTAGATTCTTTTATGTTTTCTCCTTTTAAAAAGCCTAGGCATTATCTAAGATCTTAAAACGACTTCTGGCTCATAAAAAGTACAAAACTGACTTTAAAAAAAGGAATCATCATGCTGAGACTCAAAGATGCTAACAGGCACAAGTCAGAACCTGTTAACTACATTATCCTCAAGCTCACTCACATGCCCTTTTAAATTGTCTACTTAAAATTACTCACTTTTTTTCTTAAATAGGCGAGTTTCTGCTTAAGCTTTGCTGCAAAAACTAAAAGCATCAGGAATCACACGCAATTTTATTTTTTCAAACGTTGAAGCAGTAAATTTGCTCATTGTTAAAGAACATATTTATTGACGTTCACCCTACCCCCCAAAACGATCAAAATCTTCTGACTAAACCTTTAATAAAATCTTAGACAGTACAGGAAGACACCACCCCACGCTAGACAGACCACTAAACGTACTGCCTTCAAGTATAATGAATCACGGGTGTCTACTGATAAAAACCATCAAAAGAGTCATCCGTTTCAGCTTTTTCCTCACAGCTCTGCAAAGTACACAAAAGATGTTTCTCCAAAGCAGCCCCATTCACAGTACTCCAAAGGCAAAAAGAGTTCAAAAAGTAAAAAAAGAAGAAACTAGAACAAGGCAACTGTGAAGGGGCGGAAGAGGAGAGGGGAGGGAAAAAAAAACAGGACGTGAAACAAACTTAAAACTCTTCCGCAACTTCCAGTGGGAAATTAGGTTTCTCGTTTTCCAACCCAACATGCTTTGCACGGCCAAATAGTACAACTAGCGAACAACAAAGAGTTGTAGGAGCCACAGGGAGGAAGATGTTGGAGGGGGCGCATCGCAACCCAGCATCTGACTCTAATCCCTGACGGGGAAGGTTAGAAAGGAGCCCGGGGAAAAGTGCCCGGAAGGGCCGGGATAGGGAGGGAGGGATGGGGCCGACCGTCTGTTAGCTACCCCCGCACAACCCAGGCGAAGGAGGGGCGGCAAGTGGCCGGCCCAGCCCAGGGCAGTCCGGGGATGTCCGGGACGCCGCTGGGTGTAGCCCCGGCGGGCGGACGGGCGGGGGGAGCCCGCGGAGGCCCGGCCGGCTCCACCTGTGGCCGGGGGAAGGGGGGCCCACGTGTGCCCGAGAGGGATCCCCGGGGAGGGGGCGCCCGGCCGGGAGCGGGGAGGGAGAGGACATGGCGCTGCTGTTACCTGGGTTCCGGCCGCCGCTGGCAGGAGGAGGCGGCGGCGGCGGCGGTCCTCTCCCGCCCCTGGGCTCGGGCGAAGTCTGGGCCGCCGCCGCGGCCTGGCACAGAGTGCGCAGCGGGCTTCCTCCCGGCCGGGCCGCCGCCGCCGCGGCCCCCGGCCTCCCTGCCCCTCCTCGGGGCCGGGCCGCCCTCCCCCTCCTCACGGGTCCGGCCGGCTCGGGCTCCCGGGCGGCCGACCCGCGGCGGGGGGCCTCTCCCAGGACGGCACCGGGCTCCGCTCACCCGCTGCGGCGCCCACCCCTTCCCGCCCCCGGGCGACGGCCGAGCGGAGGGGAGGGCGGCCGGGGCCTCGGGAGGACAGCGAGCGAGAGCGCGGACTCCGCCACCCGGGACGCTCCGTTAAGGCGACGACGACCGGGGCCGTGTTGTTGCTGCCAACTTGTCGAGGGGGGCACTGGGCATGCGCAAACGCAGACCACATCCGGGTAATTTTTTTTTTTAACCAGAGCCTGTGTGGCTTTTTTTTCCCTTCTCCTTTCTCCTCTACCCGCTCCCCCAACCCTCATCCCCACCCCCACCCCCGCCTCCCTCCTCTCTTCGCTCCCCCACCACCAAGCCTCCTCTGTTTCTCCTCCCCCGCTTCTATCTCGGGGATTCTGAGCGCACTGCAGCGCGCAGGCGCATGCTGGTCAGATTGTTCTTTGGAGTCGAACGCCGCCCAGGGCTTCAGGCCTGAAGTAGGGAGGGCAAGTTTAATGAATGGAAGCGGAGGAGGCGCCGAGAGCTGGGACTACTCGCTTTGAGGTTGCTGGCGCTGCCCAACCCAAGAGGGGACACGAGCAGTCCCGCGCTCCCTGCCCTGCACCCGGAGAAGTGGCTGCATTGTTTCCATAGCAGTCTCCCGGCTACTTTTTTTTTTTTGCTTTTTCTGCAGTGGAGAAAAGAGAACTCATCAAAGACACTTCTTGCAACAACGCACTGTGAGAAATGATTTGGGGGGGGCAGTCAGGAAAATAGCCCTTTACCCCTTTCCCAACCCGACCCAAACTTCTAAATCCATAGACTCAGAAATGTCCAATCGGAACTATCTGAATTCCAAGATTCCCCACTCCCCCACTATGAAAAGAGGAGGCAAAGTTCAATAAATGACAACAAAGTGGTGACTAGAAGCTCCTTGAGGCTCCGTAATCTGGAGACACACAGACATATAGCTAATGTAATATAACATATAAAATAGATATTACTTGGCTTCAAGTATGCATAATACATATAGACATGTATGACTGGAAGCTTATATATAAGGTTGTGTACGCATATATGTGTTACATGCATGCACATCTGTGTGATATATGTATCATACATCTATTGCCATACCCATCTAAAAGCTTCCAGGCATGTATGTGTATGTGTATCATGCATATATGTATACCCCTCATCCCCTCCACAATTATTACATGCCACTGTGTGCTAAGTACGGCGTTGGAGATACAAAAATAAAATTAATAGTCCCTTACCTTTAAGATGCATATGCTTATCAGAGATTTACCATTTATACAAATAAGTAGAAGAGAATCCTTATATGTTCCTTGGTACCTAGTACAGGCTTTGCACAGACTTGAATCAAGAAAAAATGAGAAGGGTCCCTCCCGACCCCCAGAACTATGGGTAGAATTCAGCTGAAAAAAATATGTTCAAATGTAACTTTTGGTACTACTGTATGTAACGCTTAAAATCAGCGGCCTCGGGGCAGCCTAGGTGGTGTAGTGGGTAGAGCACCGGGTCTGGATTCAGGAGGACTTGAGTTCAAATTCGACCTCAGACACATAACACTTACTAGCTGTGTGACCGTGGGCAAGTCACTTAACCCCATTGCCTAGTCAAAAAAAAAAATCACCAGCCTCAATTTCTTCTTTTGTTAAATGAGGGGATTTGAATTGGGTTGACTTCTGAGTTCCTTCAGTTCAAGCACAAAATGTGTAGGGCATGAGTGATGGGTTCCAGCAGCATTTTTAGAGGGAACTTCCTTATCAATGTCATAACAGATCTATTTGAGTTAATAAAATCTGGGAGAAAGTAAAAGCAAGTAAGTGTCTCGTTTCAAATTGATCACTGATAAAGCAGTAGTTGTCTTTATAACCAAATACCCACAACCCCCCACCAAAGCAGGAGGTAGATGTTACAAAATAAGCAACTGAGCTTCAGAGGATCCCTTAAAAAATTTTTTTATTGAGCTTTTTCTGTCTTTTTTTGAAAAAGAACATATAGAAACTAGTGTTCATTTCCCATCAGTCACCCCACAAAAAAAAAGTTTAAACCAGACACTTTCCAAAAGTTCAGCTATCTGACATAAAGATTTCCATTCAGATCCTCTCTTAGATATTTAATGTAGTGTCCCTGAGCATCAGTTTCCTCATCTGCAAAATGGGGGGGGTGATAATAGCACCCACTCCCCAGGGTTGTGAGGATGAAATGAGATCATACGTAAAGAGCTTTGCAAACTTTAACAGGTTATATAAATACTACCTCTTTTTAGGTGTCCATGAGATGTGGAGGCTTTTTTAAATGTTAGAATAGATTTCAACTCAACTACTCTCTCCATATGTACAAGTGTATGTATTATATATGTATATAACATAGATATGGAAACATTTACTAGGCCCCTACTGTGTGCATAGAAAAAAGTTTAGATAAGATTTGGTCTCTGCCCTTATAAAGTATGTATATTATGGCCACAGATATTTTAAATATGCTGAGCCCATGTGAATGGTGCTTCAAAAGAAGCTGTGTATCATGGAAAGTGAATAAAGCCAAAATAAAATTAAAAAAAGAAAAAAGAAAGTGAATAAAGCTAATGCAAATTTGGGAAGCCGAGGCTTTTCTAAAATTGTAGTTTAAATAATATACCTTTTCTATGAGGGCTAGAATGGAGAATTAGAACAGCTATAGTGTGATCCCTGGTCCCTAGGAAAAATGATGGGGATTAGGAAGGGAATAAATCAGCCCCACTAGCATAGCAGGTGATTTAGGGCAGAGGGGATCACCAGATGAGGTTGGTTCACTCTCTCATATTGGACTTCCTAATTCTTAACGTCATTCAAATTCTGAGATTTAGAGAGGCTTTGGAGTAGAGTGGTATGTGCAATGGAGGTGGAGGCAGAACACCTGTATTTAAGCCTTGTCTCAGCCACTTATTAACAGTGAGTCCTTGGCCAAGTTACTTAATTTTTCTGAGCCTTAGTTTCCCCACATGTAAAATGGGGATAATCACCATACCTGCTCTTTCAGCCTCATAGGTTTGCCATGGTAATAAAAATGAGAGACTACATGGGAAAACATCTGATAAACTGTGAAGAGCTATGCCAGTGTGAATTGCTCTTATTATTTGAGGTTACTTCCCCTAAAATAGGGATAACAATACCAGTTTACCTCAAAATCCAAGGTGAATAGCAAAATCACTATGAAGCATTTTATAAATAGGGAAGGGGAAAGGAAAGGAAGCATTCATGTAGTGCTTACTATGTGCCAGCCATTGTGCTAAGTGCTTTTACATATATCTTATTTGATCTTCCAAACAACCCTGGGAGGTAGGTGCAATTATTATCCCCATTTTACATTTGAGGAAACTGAGGCAAAGATTAAATGACTTGCCCAGAGTTACACAACTAGTGTCTGAGGCCGACTTAAATAATTGCAGGATAATAGAGTTTTAGAGTTGGATATAAATTGACCTTAGTGATAATCTAATTTCATATCTTTTTACAAGTTTAACTAATATTAATTAAAGGTCATACAACCAAAAGCAGGATGAGGACTAAAATCCAGATCCCCAAGTCTCTCAGTTCAAGGTTCCCTCTACTGCACCATACTGCCTCTCATTTATTCAATATTGGTAACTTGTTAAAATATCAAGAGTAATGAAATAAAAAAGAGATACTAAGATAGTACCAAGTAGGGAGGTGGGATCTACAGTAAGGATGTGAAATGTAATATACATTGTATGATCCAGTCCTATTTCCTTCTCTTTGCTTACTTTCTGTTTATTTGTTTCAAGGAAGACTATCACGATTTAACAGGATAAGAGGAACATTACTGTGCTATAAACAAAAGGCAGCAATAAAACTTTTTTAAAAAGATTGTTGTCAAACTTGGGGTGAGGTACATACATAATGCCAGAGAGACTGGGATAAGTATTCTTAAAAACACAAATGTTTCAACCGCTGATTAATTTCACATTTAGTGTACTGAAGTCTTCTCTTCTTTCTGGTTAAATATTCAAAATAAGAGAGAAATGAGTAGTTTAAATGGTACCCCAGCTACTCCTGAGAAGACTAGATCAGTTCTGACCTAGGCCTTGGGACCCAAAGTCCTGATTGAGGCAGAGATAATTCTCAAATGGTCCATTTTAGGTTGGCACAGCCCTGAAATAATAATAATAATAATAGGTAGCATTTATAGGTAGCATTTAAAGGTTTGCAAGATATTTTACATATATTGTCTCATTTGATCCTCAACCCAGGTTTCGACCAGTTCAGTAGAACCAGGTTTGAGGATGCCCCTGGGAAACCTGAGAATGAAACAAACTCAAATCCTGGGTAAATAATGGATATGACCCAGTTTCTTAAGAGACCTCTAGATCAGTCCCTCCCTAAGGAAAAGGACTAGGCTTGTAGATCATTGTCTTCCCCAACAATGCCTTGCATATGGCAGACCTACAAGAAATATTGTTGAATTTAATTTATAGACACTTATGTAAGAAATCATGAAAATTAAAGCTCATATTTATAATAGCACTTTAAAATTTACAAAATGCTTTTCTCACAGCAAGCCAATGAAGTAGGAAGAAAGTAAACTGAGTGTCTTATTTGATTTCATCCCGGAAAGATGAGAGGAGTTCATACCAAAATTCAGAAACCCACAATCTCTGAGTGACTTAGGAAGCATGGATAATCTCACAAAAAGTGCAAAACTGCATTCCAGTGGAGTGGTTAACAAATGATTTTCAATAAACTAAATTTTCTTCAGAATACAAAGAAATGAGAGATGGGGAGGATAATTTTGCCCTTCTCTTTTCTAGAAGCAAGTCCCAAAGCAGCCTAACCTACACACCTTTCCACTGAACAAGTACGCTTTTTGATAATCTCACTGTCATAGGCATAAAAAAAAACATTGCAGCTGCTAGAGAACATGATTTTATTAAAAAACAAAACAAAACAAAAAGCCAGGACTGGCATGTGTTATTTCATCATCCCAGTGACAAAAATATTTCCTAAAGAATATTTGTGGTTGGGATTTTTTTTTTTAGCATTCAGTTTTGAGAGAGAAAAAACTTTACAGCACTAAATTCTGTTTGGTTTTTTTTTTTCAAAAGACTGATGATCTTTAAGGCTGTACTTAGACAAAAAAAATTACAGTTACTATCTAGAAAGTTTCTGGGTCAATCAAGCATGGCCTTTTAAATAATTAAATTGGCTTGAAGTTGGAAAAACTATGACACCAGGATTTTATAGACACACAATATTATACTCCTTCATATGAAGGCAATGTTTGAAGAATAGTATTTTCTAAATACTTTGGAGAAGAAAAAAAAAGTACACAATACAAAAAAACCCCCGCTCCCCAAAAAGTATCTGCTTTCCTTTTGGATTTCCCTCCCTACTGCACTCACAAAATGATTTTTTTTAGTTGCCATGAGAAAAACTTACCCCTTGATTTCTCCACCTTTCCCTCTCTTTCCCCCCACTGTTGATTGGGAATTTCTCTCCTTCCCTTTTCCCTTTCCCCATTCACTTTCCTTTGCCTGACATTTCTGACAAGCTTTATCCAGCTGCTGCCTTTTCACTGTGGCAGGGGTAGAGAGCCTGCTGTCCTAGCACTTCCTTCATTCCTGTCAGACTTCCTGAGCCCTTGTGAAATTAGTCAGAACCCTGATTCTACCACAGCATAGTCATCTCTTCTAACAACAAAGAAGAGAATCCACAGGCTAAGAGAAGAGCCCAGTAGAAGAAAATCACTCAGTGCTTAAGGCCTTCAAGACCCTCTTTCCCCATTTCCCTGGTAAAACTGAGCTTCTTCCTCCTCCAGTTAACTTGGCACCCAAATACATGCATTTTAAAATGCAAAGGAAAGGAATGTCACATAACCACCCACTGTGTCACTGCTTCCTGAGCCTGCTAGTTGCTGTGGCTTCTCTGGAGCCTGGTTCTCTTGCTAACTAGGATCTGGCTTGAAAATCATACAAATCTTGCTCAAGGAAGATGTCCTGGCTGGATACAAGTCCCAGATTTTTCATCTCCAGGTGTGTATTGTGGCAGACATCATGGGCACAGTTATGACTAGCAATTTCTTTTTACCTCAGTGGAGCCCAAGGAGTTCAAAAGTTCATATGAAAACCCTCCATTCAAAAGTTGCCACAGGGGACCTTAGTTAAAAATGTGGGTCTTGACTCCCAATCCTGCTTTCAGACCATTAAGGCCATGCTCAGTCTGGAAAAGAGCCTGCTGTTGGAGTCAGGTAGCAGTGGTGCCCAGGTGATGGTGGGGTGAAGGGGAGCTTATCATGTGACCTTTCCTTTTCTTTTTAAAAAAATTTAAATGTTTTATTAAAGTCTTGACATTGAATGTCAGTTCAGCCTACAAAACTTAGTAATCTTCAATGCCACCTTGAAAAAACTGGCACTGAAGTTTTCAGTGGAAGGAGAAGACCCTAACTAACTCTTTTAGGACTGTCAGGTAGGTCCTCAGGTAGGAGACTATCATCGGGTTTATCCTCTTAATACTGGAATTCCCAACTCTTCTTCTTTCATGT